GGCCTCAATTAGACCTCCCTCCCATATCAACCATCCTGAGCCAGGCGATGACTATGCCAGATCAGGAATCTCTCCTTCTCCATTGCTCCATTGCTGACCCTCCATTCCACCCGGCCCATCTTCTCTAGGTGAGTGACTATCCACAAATTCACTCATCTCAAGTCTTCTACCCACTCTCTCAAAGTGACTTCTCGAAAGTCTCTTACCGTAAAAGTCCTAGTGCTAGACCAGAAGGAAGACTCCGCAGCCATTTAGCTTTGGGTCTTTCTGGAGTGGGGGCACCAAGTTCAGAAGGCCATCTCTCATTTCCCATGGTGATTTGTTTAGCTGCGGGGATACCTCCCCTAGTCACCTCTGGGTTTGCGGTCTGTCACTCACCCTTCCTCTCTCATGGGCCACACTACACTCCCTCTGCACACTCACGGGGGAGATTATGCCCAACCACCTCATTTTTTTTTTTTTAACACTGTTTGGCCACAATATAAACTAGATGATAAGTCTCAATGGCCTAAAAATGGCACTTTCAATTTTAACACATTGCAAAATTTAGATAATTTCTGTCACAGCAATGGAAAATGGTCAGAGATTCCCTACATCCAGGCCTTTTTCACTCTTCAGTCTCAATCCTTTCTCTCAGTTCTGCTCTACCCATCAGATCTTTCTCCTTCACACAAAACATCATACCCCTAACATTTCTGATGCTGAATGCACTTTTCACCCAGCAGGCCACGAACCTCCATCTTCTTACACAGCCCTTCCCTCACTTGCAGTAGATTCCCAAATCCAGACCCTCCTAACCAGCAACCACCTTCTCCCCAGCCCCTGAAAGTCGAAATCCCAAGAACTCGAGCTCCAATACAGCCTTTTCCCACCTAACACTTGCTCTCGGGCCACCTTAAGACTGCCTTCCTCAACAGCTGCTTCTATTCCTACACCCATTCTACACCTGAGGGTGGGAGCAGGAACTGAGGGTATTGGCTGGGTACACATCCCATTTTCCATGTCCGACCTCACACAGATTGAGAGGCATCTCAGGTATTTTTTCACCAACCCGACCACCTTTACTAAGGAAGTTAAGTACATGGCCCAGTCCTATGGCCTGACCTGGCATCACATCTGAGTCATCCTGTCGTCCTCTCTCACCCCAGAGGAGAAGGAGCACATCTGACTAGCAGCTCAGGACCATGCTGTGCCCTCCATAGACAGAACTCGGTGGCCAACCCAGATGGCGCTATCAGGTCAGATCTCCAGGGCACTGGCTCTGTAGCCTGTCTCATTGTTGACCTCAAAAGCCTGCCCATAAGGCGGTCAATTATGACAAACTTAATGAAATCACTCAAGGCCCTGACCAAAACCAAGTTCTCCTCTCTGGCCTCGCAGAAGCCTTACACAAATTTACCACCTTAGAACCCACCTCCCCAGAGGGAGCCCTTCTTCTGAACAGCCATTCTATATTCCAATCAGCCCCCGACATACACTATAAACTCTGAAAAGTAGACACAGGCCCACAAACGCCTCAAAAAGACCTACTTAACCTGATTGCTGAGGTTTTTAATAATAGAGAGGAGGAGACCCCAATTCAAAAACAAAGGTGAGATCAGGCCAAGGCTGATCATGCGAAGGCCCATCAGCTCCTAGCCACTACTCTCAAGAACCCCAAATGAAGTGCTGGTCCTCCAAACAAGAGTAAGTCAGGGGCTAAGCCTCTTCCAGGCCCATGCTTCAAATGCAACAAGGAAGGACTAAGCCCTGCTCAAACCCGAGACCCCTGGCTGTGCCCTACCCACAGTGAAGAAGGCAAGGCCAATGGAAATCAGACTGCAATCTGGCCCCTCCAGGTCAGACTTCGGCCAGCCCAGCAAGGCCACCTTTTGGATCCGCTTTGAAGCTCCCAGACCTCCTGGATATGGCCACCAAAGACTGAAGCTGCCCAGGCCCTGAGAGGGCTCCACAGACTTATGTCAGCAGGACAGAGCCTCGGGTAACAATGTGGTGGCAGGTAAGCCAATCTTCTTTTTAATTGGCACTGGGGCCACTTATTCTGCCCTCCCGGAATTCACTGGGACCCTTGTCCCCTCCTCAGTCTCCATTATGGGGGTTGACAGATTAGTTTCACAGTCATTAGCCACCTCACCTCTACAGTCTATCTTATTAAACACCCCCATCAACTCTTTCCTCTTTCTACCTCAGTGCCCAACCAGGACTACAGTGCAAACCCTCATAAAACCTGGTTGTCCCAAACAACAGTCACCTACCTCAGCTTCACTCTCACCCCACACATCTGTGCCATTCCTTAGACTGTGAAGTGAATGTGTTATCTCCTCCATGACTGCCCTTTCTTCTGAACAAGAAATACTCACCTTTCTCAGGCTCGCTGGGTACTCTTGCCTCTGAGGTCCCAGCTTGAGTCTTCTCACAAAGCTACTCTATGATAGGACCCCTGCCTCACGGAGCCTTTAGATCTTTAATACTCTGAAAACTGCTCTCACCTGGGTGCCTTCTGACATCCCCTCACCCCCTTCCCAAAGAACAACTTTCTTTGCTGCAAAACTAGAAATGCTTACTTAAAAGTCTGCCTACTGTCAGAAGCTGAACTCATTATCACCCAAACCTTAGCATGTTATCACTAAGGAAAAATGTAGCAAGCGCCTGGATGCCTGGGGACAGGCTGCAGGGCCTGCTCTCTCCTCCCCTTGCCTTTTCTCCAGCATCAGGTGCCTACACATACTTTTCTAGAGTCTTTGGTAACTTACAGGCTTTGGAGCTTTGCTGGGTTAAAAGATAAACATCTAAATACTTTAAAACAGAATAAAATACTGAAACATTGATTGCTAGACATGTTTCAATTTGCATGCTCCTAGTTTTTATTACCCATGGTCTCTTGTACTTTGAGGAAGGCATATTAAAGTAAGAGTGTGTTTAAAGTGTGTTCATAAATGTAAATGCTGTTTGTTTACTTTTTGGCTAAAGCTGGTTACTTGTGAATGGGCAGAAGGATTGTGTTGACCAGTGAGTCAAGACCTGATCACCCCTGATGTCCCAAAGGAACCCCTTCTCTCCTAGTAAGCTAAAGCAGCCCCTCCCAGATTCACTCCTGTTGCTTACATCCTTAAGTTGAAGCCTACACTTTATTTCCAGCGCTCATTCACAGTTCCTGACACTAGCATTGAAAGCCTCACAGGTATTCCTGCTCGATATTTGGGAACATCTCTCCCCTTTTATAGCCTTCTAAAATGTCAAATCCCTGGACAAGAGTGGCAAATTGACTTCACTCACATGCTTCCTATTTTTAAAAAAGGAAAGAACAAATATCTCTTAACCCTTGTAGATGCCTTCTGAGGCTGGGTAGAAGCATTCCCCATTGAGTCTGTAAAGTCCACTGAGGTCACACAAGCTCCCATTCAGCACATCATTCCCAGATCCAACCTCCCCACCTCATTACCAGCAGATAATGGACCTGCTTTCATTTATCAAATAACTCAACAGGTCTCCTCCACTCAGAATAATCTGTGGAATTTACACTCCCCCACCAGCCCCAATCTTCAGGCAAGGTGGAAAAGAGAAATTCCTTCGTTAAGTCCCACCTAACTGAATTAACTCTCAAAACTAAAGAACCTTAAACTGATCTCCTACTGCTAGGCTTTATGCACAAAAGATCAATCCCCCCACCATGCATCCTCCTTTCTTAGTCCCTTTGAATTCATGTATGGAAGACTCTTCTTATTAGGAAACTTGCCTTCCACAGAAACCCTCTCGGAGCCTATGTCCCCATTTTAAATCTATTCCAACAATTACTAAGAGAACATGCTAATCAAGCCCTCCCTCCACCTTCTAAGGGAGACATCCCACTAAGCCTCTACAGCCAGGGGACTGGGTCCTTGCCATGGTGGGCAAACTGCGGTTCGTGGCTCTTCCTAAGCCTTAGGAGCACCCTATTTAAGTTAATAACAATGTACCTACCTATATAGTTTAAGTTTAAAAAATTTGGCTCTCAAAAGAAATTTCAGTCATTGTACTGCTATTTGGCTCTGTTGACTAAAGAGTTTGCCGACCTAAAGGAAACCCACCCACCAAATAATTTATAGCCCCAATGGCAAGGCCCTTAGCAGGTACTCCTAACCACCCCACTGCAGCTAAACTATCAGAGCAAACCCCGTGGTTCCACCTTTCCATTTAAAACCCATCCCCGGAACACCTCCATCACATGAGCTGGAGTCCCCTAACAATTACAGTCGCCAGGCTGGGCACACAAGACCCTGCCTTACCCTCATCAATGGCTCACCCAATGCATATGTAGCCACCAATAATCAGTCTTTACCTGGCCCCTGTAACCCACCATATCCGACACAAAAGTGCATGCAGTTCAGGTAATCCCTCTCCTCATAACCCTGGGCATCACAGCAGAGGTAGGAACTGGCACGGGGCCTAACTACTGCTCTTCCCGTTTGGAAATCCTGTCTCAGGACCTACAAGAAAGCTCCGGATGCCAGCAAGGGGCAAAACTGGGAAAGAAGAACCTCGCTCCCTGGGTACCTCCCCTCCCCTAGCAAATAACTAGTCAGGCAACTAAGACCCCTGACCTTTTCCTCCCTAAAGATCACATCTAGGCCTCAGTTGCATTTCAGCTCCAGGCCCAGAAAAGCAGCAAAACCAGACAAGTGACGCTGTGGCAGCCTCGGGACCAGCTTCTGCCTCCCAAGTCCCCCAACAGGACCGTTTTCGGGCCTTCCAGGTGGCCTAATAAATCCATGATTCTTCTCCCTTTTGGCCCGCGTGTTCCTCCTTCCGCGACCCTAACATCTATGGCCCCAGCGTCCTGAGAGTGAAGGTAAAGCTCCTCGTGCAAAACCGCACCTCGTCTCTCTGTTGCCTTTACACCCACAACAGGCCCGGGTCCCGAGTCCTCCCTGCGCAGTCGCACCGTCACGTCCTTACAAGGCGGCCCCGCAGCCTTTCACCCTCTTCCCCCATCAGCCCTGTGTCACCCACGAGGGACTCACCATTCTGAGCGCTGGGACCTGGGCGGCGGGACCTGAGAGGCCGGTCCCCAAGGCTGGAGGGTGAAATGGGGTCCGGCTGCGGGACGCTGTGAGCAGGGAGGAGTCCGGGGGGCACGGGGACCCCAATCTCGGGCTGTTGGGGCTCAAGGAGCCTCAGACACACCCCGCACGGCAGGCGCGCTGCCTCCCAGACCTCCTCCTCCTCACGACCAGCGCCCTGAAGCCTGGAAGTCTGTGAACAAAGACCTGAGAGGTGAAAATGACCACCGCGAGGAGGAAGGCGGAAGTCCCGCCCTAATTGGATGCGCAGACAACGAAATGCCCTTTAACCCCGCTCACACGCGTGCAGTGCTGTCTGGGTAATGTAGTTTTCTCAACAGCTCAGTGTAGTGCTAGCATCTCAGCCTTTGAATTATATGAATAAAGATGATGTGGCTCAGCAAGTGACGCCAGGGGAGGGACTAGATGGGACCAGAGGCCTGGCTAACTGGAGCCGATTAACAGATCTCTGAGGGGAAGGAGGTGGGGAGGAATGCCAGAGATCCACCAAAGAATATATACAGAGGGGGAAATGGGAGACATCGATAATATATCAAGAATAAAAAATATATGTATTTTCGTAAATTTTAAAATAATGCAGCCCAGGTGGTGTAGCTCCGTGACTGAGCCTTGACCTGTGAACCAGGTCACGGTTCTTTTTATTTTATTTTTATATTTTAAAATTATTTATTTTTATAATATTACATGTATTATTACATATAACCTCTTTTTCACCCATTGACCTATGCCCAGCCACCCCTACCCTTCAGCACATGCCCTTAGCCCCCAAAGTGTCTATGGCCATTGTTATGCTTATATGAATGCATATAAGTTCTTTGCTTGATCCCTTAACCCCCCTCACTCTCCTAAATTCCCTCTGAAGTTCGACAGTGTGTTCGATGATTCTATGTCTCTGAATGTATTTTTGTTCATCAATTTATGCTGTTCATTATGTTCCACAAATGATGAGGTCATGTGACACTGGTTCTTTTCCTGGTCAGGGCACATACATGGGTTGCAGGATCAATTTCCAACGTGTGGGTGGAATCATGCACCAGGCAACCAATCAGAAATTCTCTCATCATTGATGCTTTTATCTCTCCCTCTCCCTTCCACTCTCTAAAATCAGCAAAAACATTTTAAACTAAGTATATGCATATATACATAGGCCATGGACATATACAGTAATGTGGTGAGGGACTAGAAGCAGTGGGGGCAGGGTAGAGGGAGAAAAGGGGGGAGGAGGATGGGGGGGAAATTGAGAACATCTGGAATAGCGTCAACAATAAAAAATAATAGTGTGCACAGCGGTGAGGCTCAGTGGTTGGGCGTGTACCCATCAACCAACATATCATTGGTGGATTCCAGATCAAGGCACATACCCAGGTTGGGGGTTCCATCCCAGTAGGGGGAATGCTGGAGGCAGCTGGTCAATGATTCTCATCATTGACGTTTCTTCAATTCCCTTTCTCTTTAAAAAATCAATCAAGACAGTTTTAAAATGAACAGTGTTAAGATTGATTTGACTCAACAACAACAAAGTGATTGTGGGCCATGATGTTTTCTTCCAAGTCCTGTAAGCAAAATCATGCCTTGTTCTGTCTTCATACAGGGTGTCCCAGGCATAAACTTTTTGGGCACAGGATCCAGCCTGAAGTTGGTCTGCCTCAGCTTGGCCTCTAATGTTTGAGTTCTTGACTTCATGCAGAAAAGATTTCACGACAGGAGTTCAGAGATTTTTATTTATTTTTCCCTTTATTGATTAAGGTATTACAAATGTGTCTTTCACCCCCCATTGTCCCTTCACCCCACCAATTTTGCCCTCCCCCTCCCCCTCACCCCCTGTTGTCTGCATCCATTGTTTATGCTGATATGCATGCATACATGTCCTTTGGTTGATTTCTCCCCCTAACCCCCATCCTCCCCTACATTCCCTCTGAGGTTTGAGAATCTAATCAATTCTTCTCTGTCTCTGAATCTGTTTTTGTTCATCAGTTTATGTTGTTCATTATAATCCACAAATGAGTGAGATCATGTGATACTTATCTTTCTCTGACTGGCTTATTTCACTTAGCATAAGGTTCAACAGCTCCATCTATGCTGTTGCAAATGGTAGGAGTTCCTTCCTTTTACAGCAGCATAGTATTCCATTGTGTAGATGCACCAAAGTTTTTTAATCCACTCATCTGCTGATGGGCACTTAGGCTGTTTCCAGACCTTAGCTATGGTGAATTGTGCTGCTATGAACATACGGGTGCATATATCCTTTCTGATTGGTGTTTATAGTTTCATGAGATATATACCTAGAAGTGGGATCATTGGGTGAAATGGGAGTTCCATTTTTAGTTTTTTGAGGAAACTCCATACTGTCTTCCATAGTGGCTGCACCAGTCTGCGTTCCCAACAGCAGTGCACAAAGGTTCCTTTTCCTCTGCATCCTCCCCAGCACTTGTCATTATTGATTTGTTGATGATAGCCATTCTGATAGGTGTGAGACGGCACCTGATTGTTGTTTTGATTTGCATCTCTTGGGTGATTAGTGATTTTGAGCATGTTTTCATATGTATCTTGGCATTTCTTATGTCTTCTTTTAAAAAGTATCTATTTAGGTTCATTGCCCATTTTTTGATTGGGTTGTTGTTCTTTCTTTTGTTAAGTTGTATGAGTTCCCTGTAATTGTTGGAGATTAAACCCTTATTGGAGATAACATTGGCAATTATAACAGTGGGCTTTCTGAGCCTAGCCCTTGTTTCCTACATTCCACAGGGCCAGGCCTGCTCTGATATCATCCAGCATGTTCACCCTGTGAAATAATAGGATTCTCCCCGCACCAAAATCTCTACATGTACGTAAAACCCACATATTCCCAGTATTAATTGCATATGACAGAGGTGAGCAGGTCTCACTTCCCAAATGGACCTTCAGCACCACTCTATGCCTCCTCCTCCAGGCTCAGCATGTGCTTCAAAGTGAGTGCTGTTAGGTGTGCAGCATCGCAGAGAGAGGTGTATGGCGGTCCTTTTCCAAGGAACCAGATGGCTGCTGGCTGAGGCAGTCCGCCTTGACTTAGAAGACGAAAGAGCCGAAACCGATTTGGCTCAGTGGATAGAGCGTCGGCCTGCGGACTGAAGGGTCCCGGGTTCGATTCCGGTCAAGGGCATGTACCTGGGTTGCGGGCATATCCCCAGTGGGGGGCGTGCAGGAGGCAGCTGATCGATGTTTCTCTCTCATTGATGTTTCTAGCTCTCTGTCTCTCTTTCTTCCTCTCTGTAAAAAATCAATAAAATATATTTAAAAAAAAAAAAAAAGAAGCAGACGAGAGGGTGTGCTTACAGGGGAGGCTCCAGTGCTGTGGCAGATTGCTCTGTGCTGCATCTGCCGGTCTGTGTTGCTGTGCATCAATACTGTACACTCAGACTGGTTTTTAAAGCGTATGTCCTGTGGGTGTGTGCATCCTACCATGTGTATAATGATGCGTTGATTTTAAAAGTACTGACTCCTTCAGCATAAACACTACAGCTTGTTGAAAAGAAGGATCCCTGAGAGTGACTTGCAGGTGAAAGCTCCCAATCTGGAGGCCACAGTGAGGAAGTTTGATGATGTCTGTAAAAGGGCAGTGAAGGCAAAGAGTGTGACAACCTGATCACCATCATTGCCCATTTGTATGACTTCCACCTGGTACAGTCTCTCCTCATATTAGTCATTTTGGAAAAACTTACAAGAAATTTCACAGAGAAAGGTATGGAACTGATCCTATTAATGCTGAGAAATGAGGGATTTTTGTTGAGAAAAGATGATGTTTTGTCACTGGAAGTGATCACAGAGACCCAGGCCAAAGTCAGTGGGGCAGGCGGCAAGTTCCAGGACAAGACCAGGTACAATGGGTCACTTGACCTGCCTCCTAAGTGCCTAATTGTTCAGAAGCTGACCAGCACATAGAAATAAGTGGGGTAAATGCTCTGTTTCATTTCCTAGTAATCTATTATCTTCTGCTTCTGTGATTTGATTTTTTAATCTTTTAAAACTAGAAGCCAGGTGCACAGATTCAGCTCTCCGACATCCCCCGAGGAGTCCCAGGTTGCTAGAGGGTGCAGGCCTGGCCGAGGGACCCCACCAGTGCACGATCAGGGCTAGGGAGGGACCATGGGAGGGATCCAGGGTATGTCTGGCCCATCTTGCCCAGTTCCAATCAGCTGAACCCTAGCAGCAAGCTACCCCCTGGTGGTCGAATGGTTGAACGATTGGATGGACTATTAGCATATTAGGCATATATATATATATACTAGAGGCCCGGTGCACAAAAATTTGTGCACTCGGGGAGGAGGGGGGGGGTCCCTCCGCCCGGCCTGTGCCCTCTCGCAGTCTGGGACCCTCGGGAGATAACGACCTGCTGGCTTAGGCCTGCTCCCGGTGGCAGAGGGCAGGCCCAATCCCTAGGTGCAGCCCCTGGTAGGGCTCAGAGCAGGGCCGATTGGGGAGTTGGGGCGCCTTCCCCTGTCATGCACAGAGCAAGGCAGATTGGGAGGTTGCGATGCCACTCTCAGTCACGCTCAGGGTAGGGCCGATTGGGGGGTTGGGGCACTGCCCCCTGTCAAACTCAAGGCAGGGTCGATGGGGAGGTTGCAGCACCACCCCCTGTCACACACAGAGCAGGGCCAATCAGGGGGTTGGGGCGCTGCCCCCTGTCACTCACAGAGCAGGGCCCATCAGGGGGGTTGGGGCTCCGTACCCTGTCACGCACAGAGCAGGGTCAATCAGGGGGTTGGGGAGCTCCCCCCTGTCATGTACAGAGCAGGGCCGATCAGGGGATTGAGGAGCTCCCCACTGTCACTCACAGAGTAGGGCCGATAGGGCGGTTGGGGCACCGCCCCCTGTCACACTCAGGGCAGGGCGTATCAGGGGGTTGGGGCGCTGCCCTCTATCACCCACAGAGCAGGTCCAATCAGCGGGTTGGGGCGCCGCCACTGTCACACTCAGGGCAGGGCCGATGAGGTTATGGCTCTACCCCGTCACACACAGAGCAGGGCCTTTGGGGGGGGGGGGGTGCGCCGCACCCTGTCACACACAGAGCCGCAGGGTGATCAGGGGGTTAGGGAGCTCCCCCTATCAGGCACAGAGCAGGGCTGATCAGGGGGTTGGGGCGCCTTCCCCTGTCACAAACAGAGCAGGGCGGATAGGGAGGTTGTGGCCCCGCCCCCTGTCACACACAGAGCCGCAGGGCAATCAGGGGGTTTGGGCG